CTTCACTCTACGATGAAGATTACACCGTTTAGAGCGGATCAGCATGTTTACCCTGCTCTTGCAGCGAGCGAGCCGCCGCGCGCGGCCGTGTCACTTCCCCTTATTACAACCACAGCTTTCCGGCCGTTCGCATCGTTTCTTCGATCAACATCGGCCTTTTGGACAATCTGCTCTTTTTCTCAAATTTTTGTTTTCAAACACGTTTCTAATTGTTCAAAACATATTGAACACATTCATTACTGCAAAATATGCGGATTTTCCCTAAAGATTATCTCTCTCATAATCACCGACGCTCAAATTCTACACATCCTTCTATTAAATTTCGCTATATGGAGTGATTTAGGTACTGCATATGTGTGTCACTGCATGTGACAATATGGTATACATTTGGAAAAATAATCATTGAGTTTCAAAGTTATTGACGATTAAAAATTTTACCAAGATTTCTAATCTCTCAAACATTTGAGATTTCTAACACAAATCTTTTCTCACGATCAGAGTTGCCTTGTTTTTTGTTTTTTATATCTATTTTAAGATTGGAGTTTAACTCTGAAAGACTTATGATGTCCTCCTCTCCTATTGTACAATCGTTATGTCTCTCAAAGTATCAAGTCTTGCTTTTACATATAACTTAAGTAATTGCGTAGCACTTCAAACAAGCTAAAAAATTCTGATCTTACGTAAGTTTCGTATGATGAGGTCATTTAATTCGCTTGTTTGAGTTCTTGTGCAATTACACACTATCGAAGCTGTCTACAAGGAATTGGAGTACTTTCCTGCACCTCATATCATGAATTTGATCTTTATCAATCAATTCGAAATAAAAGAAATTTGCATTACGACCAGTACCGTAAACAACTGTTTCAAATTATTGAGATGGTCAGTGATTTTGATACTTCGTTGTATTTGGTTGTTACAGCATGATTTTTTAGGTTATGTAGAGTATCTTGGCGAATAAATTGCTGCAGTTATCTTCAAAATTTACAAGGGCTTAATTTTTCAGCGTTAAAAATTCCATTCACTTCCGTTCATAATTTGGAGCTTTGAATTTACGCAAAGCGTGTCATTCATCTTCCATGACCTTCTTTTAACTACTAAATGCCGAATTGCAGGCACTCTCAGATTTTCCAAGATGGAGAAGCTTGACAAATTGGTGTCGAGGCTTGAGAAGGTCACTGCAAAACTAGAAAGCTTGGGTGCTTCAAGACCGCAACTCGCTCCGAAACCTGCTCATCTTGGTGGAAGTGGTGGTTCGTTTCATGATTGGTTCTGACTTGATTTATTTTCTATGTAGAAATTTCTCATTTTATTGCCTGCGTGCTTGATGTGTAAGTGTTATGTTTTGTTTTCTGGAAATGCCTTTCTTTCCTTATAGATGCAGATAGCGGCGCCTCTCATTTCATTCCCATTCGTTCGCCGCTTTGTGCTCCTGATATCTTCTTCACCACGCTCTAATGTTCTCTTCTCAACTGCGCACAAATTAGGAGGAAAATGGGGCCTTCAAATATGAAGTTCAACTTTCGCATAGGCTGGAAGAATGTAGAAGAAATAGCCGACTTTCTTTCTTTGCTCTTTTAGATGAGCTTTTCTAGTTTTTTAAGCTCTTCACTTATGATTCATGAGAAACTTACAAAAACCTCTATTTACTAGCCCATTATCGCTTTAACGCGATCGCGACACTTATTTGCAGCACTTGCCGTTCACGAAAAAGCTGTTTGATCAATATTACTCAACCGTACATATTTTAATG